CAAGTTACCACCAAGTTAGCAGTGGTGGAAATTTTTGCCGCGACTTGAACACTCCACAGCCTGTCTCTTTTCAAGTGTACCGGTGTGGAGGCTAGAACTGGATTGAGACCATGCCAGAGAGTCATGTTTGAAAATGGAAATCAATGTCCATTGGAGGTCCAAACTGACTAGTAAATTTTCTTCTATCCATTTTTGACTGCAAAATCAAATGACAACTTTGTAAGAAAGTAGAGTACTCAACTACATGTACATCAATCAAATAATGGCATGCATGCCTGTTTACAAGTATGAAATATTGTAGGATGTTGCGACCCTTGCAGAAAATTTGTAACCACAGGAGTTAAACACTGCTAATGTGACGGCCCCTTGATTTTATTTTGTGTCATATGCACCGGGTCCACTTTTCCCGCAAAACGGGGCAATTTATCCCCTCGAGGTGAGCCTTAGCAGCATTGGGAATCACTCATACGGCACCGAAAGATTGGGTAGCAAACATCTAGAAGCAGCAAACTGTATCGGAGAACCAGTCACCAATGTGCATTATGACATGACAGTTTGGTTGGTAACCTGCTATTTGTGAAGGGATTTTTTTTTTGGTTTATACTTGGCATTTTTGTCTGCTTCACAGTTTGGCCTTGGCTGGTAACCAACAGTATACACTATGACATAATTTGGCTGTGACCAGCTTGTACCAATTAATTTTCTCTGCGTCTTCGCAAGGGTGCTCTGTCATGAGTTGCTCTGGTTTAAAATTTGGCAGAGTTAGAGCAGACTTAATTTTGTGCATAGCTTCATGTTTGTCTGTCTTCAAGTACAATGTACATTAATTAGCAAAATGCAAAGCACATCTCTGTTGACCAGTTGTTGATGGTATTATTCAACAAACTTGTCCGAGGCACAGCTCTATTTCAACAAACATTCTGACTTGCAAATTGAAATACAGGACCACAACAGTCCTTTACAAAGCTGGAATGCATAATTGCTGATCCTAGGTTCCCGTTGTTCAAGACTTGCGTGACATTTCTGTTGCCACATTATTGTTTCACGTTCTGAGACTATAATGTTGCACAGCAGTGTTTGGTATAACACCGTACTGGTACATGGATGGTTGAGCCAGGGCGCCTCACACGCTTAGCTTCCCCAAGCTAATTGGAGCCTCCGTCTGTGTACAAGCAAGAGGATGAGAGCAGATGTCGTCTGATAGTACAGCAGCATTCAAAACATTTCCGTGGCGTGTTTTAACATCCTCCATGTAATGGACAGGAAAAACAATCCCTGCATTTGGATGCGTATCCTCTGGTTTGATGGACACTTTTGCTTCACCTGTGATGTGTCGCCGCATCTGGGAGAATTCCTTTCCCGAGAAGAAACTGTGCTTTTGTGCGCATTCAGTCCAAACCTTTCCAATTCTTCTGTACCACCAGCATGTGCAAACCAGTACACGTATTCAGATCTGGGCCCAATTACACAGTGCTGCTAAGTGCATGTACACTTGTGCTCTACATGTAAGTGGCTCTCCATATTTCATAGAGACTGTAAGCAGTAAGCAAAGCAAGCTAACTTTGAAGGAAAAATTCACTTACCGGTAACTACACCTTTAAGCAGATTTTTGTGCTGTGGTAGCAAAACGCAGTGGGCCCTGCCCTTTAAGATGGCTGTATTGTGAGTGGACAATACGGCTGTTTCACAGTATTGCACCACCAAGAGTTTGCAATGCGTTGGCCAAGCACAATGCGCAAAATTTGTCAACCCAATGCGCATTTGGACAGGGTCGACAAATTTCGCGCGTTATGATTGGCCAATGTATTGCAAACTCTTGGTGGCGCACTATTGTGAAACGGCTGTATTCGGGTTGTACATTTAGAGGTGTGTTTCGGCATGGCCTAAGAACATGAAGAAGAATGACGTCATCTTCCAAAAATACACGTATATTAGACTGGTTGTAACAACACATGGTGATCTACAGAGTCTCAATAGAGCCAACAGTAGTGAACCTTAATGCTTGTATGCCTCTCTGATAATTAATATTTTTTCTCTGTTATATTGTCCTTGGCATTGGAGTTGGAAGCCTACGTTGTTTCTGTTAGTTTGAGTTGGAGGGTTTGTGTCGGATGTACATTGTACATGTTCATGCAAGCTTGGAAACAGGCTTTCTTGACAGTGCTGGCTTCTGGGCTCTGCTTTGAAGTCACATTAGGCGGAAATGTTTTTGTTGGCACCAACTGTGTGGGGAAAATGAACATTTTGCAAGTATTAAATTGTTGCCAAATTAACTGCAAGACTCGCTGCCAAATTAACTACAAGATATGAAAAGCCCCTCAAGGCTTAATTAGCATGACAAAAAGAAGTCGAGAAAAATATCCAGGAAAAGGTCCCCTTGCTTTTTTTCAGGTGAACTTAATGGAATTTCACAGACCTAAGGGTTGGGGTGAATCTGACAAACGTATTTTAAGTCTCTTGTCATCTCCTGGGTCTCTCCATTTTCCTTGGCCCTCTGCTTGTCTTTTTTTATACATTAACAAGGCTTTGTCCAACAAACACCATGTCCAAAACAGTCCTAACTTCAGAAAATTTCAATTTTCCTTTCAGGGGTGAGATTTCTCAGCTGATTTCAGCCTTTTTTTGGTTTGGATTTCAGTTGTTTTTTTTTACCTCACTGGCTGCCTACAAAAGTATAGGAGATTGTCACAGTTCAGCTTCTTTAAGCCGTTTTTTTTCAGCCGCTTTTTATCATTGGTCAATCTCACCCCTGTTCCTTTGCACCTGAAAATCACTAACACCCTACAGAAAAGCACTAACATATATTTCCTCTAACATTCTTCTGAACTCTCATCCCTTTTTTCCCCCCTCATTCCCCACCTCTCCGTCGTCTTTTCACCTTCCTTCATTTTGCTGGCCCGTCCAATGTTGTTGTGTTTGTGTGTGTGTGTGTGTGTGTGTGTGGTCGGTCTTACCCCCTTCCCCGTTCCCTCCGTAGGTACGGCACCTGGCCTCGGATGGGAATATGCCCCAAACATCCTCCTGCAGGTCTAACAAAGTAAGATTTTTTCGGCTCTTTTGTCCCCTGAACCCCCGGTGTAACTAATGTCATCTATTCCAAAGTATCCTGTCCATGCACCGTGTATATGGCTTGTAACATGTACATGTGGTTAGAGCACTATTCATTTCAAAAGAATCTTTGTAAACTAGAACATAATTTCTAGCCATGTCTGGTTCCCAGTATTCTGCGAGCTCAGATATCGGACTCATTAATACAGGGATATGATTCACCAGGTTTTTCCCAATTTTCAGGATTTTTGAACACAAATATGTGGAGTTGGTGAGGTTGAATCGTGAAGGAGTTGCTACACTTTAGCTAAACACAGGTGCAAAATTCACACTGTTATTCAGCGACTTCCAAAATGCCTAATCCTTTGTTAGCTATTAAAAGTCATGTAAAGTCAAGCACAGTATTAGTTTGTTGTCATGGTTACAACTCCTTTGTTGGATATTTCTTGGTATTTTTGTTTATCCTTAAATCTCAACCCCTAATGTATATAACGTTTCTCTGTTTATCATACCGATATTTTATTCACAACTATCACGCCAGTGTCCATATTTCTAAAAGAAGCTATCAAATGTCAAGAATCCATTTTCTGTATCTCACCTCCTTGAGGATACAGTATCCCGCATGGAATACTTTTCAACTTGTACTGCAGGTTTTTCATATTTTAAGTTTTTATACCCTCGTCTTTGGCTCCACTATGACAGCAGCTCTGTGCCAGCAGTTTTTCCACTTCATGTTTGTTTTTATTTTCCACATAAAACTTTTATGAATACCCCATTTTTATTTAACTTGCTGGTGTTTAGCAGTGTCTGCCTTCTTTGCTCATGACCCTCAATTTACATTTTTGGGTGTTAAATATACCCCCCCCATAGCCTGATAAAGTCTTGTCTAAGACTGCTCTAGATACTTTTATTTCTTTGTTAATTTGTAGGTAGTTGGTTTTTCTGTTTTTCTCATTGTTCAAAGTATAGAGTACGTGTATTTTCTTTCCGCCAAAAATCTTGAAGAGAAGTTTGGCAGGGGGTTATGGGAGAGGGTGTAAGTTACCGGTACAAACATCCCACAAATCCTTGACAGATGTTTTGTGATCGCTGGCTTGTCGGTTTTACTTGTTGGTTTATCGTTCCTATTTTATTCTTCATTCCATTTTTTGGGGGGGAGGCTGAGAAGTGAGGATTTGTTTCCTCCATTGTACAATATTTCTTTCCCTGCGCATCTCACATAACGCTGCAGATACACAATTCTGTTCCTCCCTGATCTCACATAACGCTGTAGATACACAATTCTGTTCCTCCCTGATCTCACATAACGCTGCAGATACACAATTCTGTTCCTCCCTGATCTCACATAACGCTGTAGACACACAATTCTGTTCCTCCCTGATCTCACATAACGCTGCAGATACACAATTCTGTTCCTCCCTGATATCAAAGACAGGATTGCTCTCATTCTGAACACAGCCCATCAGAGGCGGATCCAGAACCAAATTTTCGGGGAGGGGGGAGTTTATTTGGGTATCAAACAATTTCACTTTATGTCATGCGACCTTTGATAACCTTGTTGAGGGATGAGGCTTAGTTTTTGTGTTTTTTTCACCCTGTTTGAAGGAAGGGAAATGAAATGGACCCAAAAAGTCCCCTTCTGTTATTTTTCAAAAATTTTGGGCTCCTTTGGGGGGGCATGGTCTCTATTACCCCACCACATTTCCCAGGATCCCCCTGACGAGGGGTCAAGTTCTAAGAATGACCAGCATGCTCGTCATATCGGCCTCGTTAATGAGGTCACACAGCCATCGTCTGACTCCATTCCTGTGAACCCAGACTTGGCATTTTGTCAGTGGCATACTGGGCAGTGAGATGATGTTTATTGACAGTCAAGCACTTTTCAACGGAAGGATTCCACATTAAACTTGCCCCAGGTGCGGTATTACTGTCAGCGACCACATTGCACACTTTGCCAGTACAAGTTCAAACACCCGTCTTGTTATGATGCATACACAGACGTGGGAAATTCCCACATGTTCATGTCATCCAACGTGAAGCTCTCAAGAAAGATACTTGGTATTAATGTTGAGAGTGAGACTTGTTTTGATCACCTGTCAATTGGAGGTGGTAAAATGTAAGAATGACAGCTATGGGTTTTGGAATCTTTAGGACAACAGTGCTTAGGTACCGGTACTTTGCTGAATAAAGCAATGTCTGATTTACGTGCACTTAGATACAGCATGGATTAATGCGTGGTTAGCAAAGAATTTATTGGCTGTAGATATACATGTATATGTATATATGTTCGCTGCAGGTTACTGCCAATATGATTCGCTGTCGATACTAATGCGGGTAACCAACCACAAATGTCATGTCAGGATTATTGCACGTTGCCTGGTTCTTAGAATATGTAGAGTGGATTTTAGCTGGTATAGNACGGTCGTTTATAGCTGCACGAAGTAATCTTTAGGCACTACTCTAAGTTGACAGGTTACCTTTATTGACGCCCGAGTATTTCAGCCAGGCCTGCAGCCTTGTAAACAGAGCCCAGATTGTGCGGTGTTTTGTAACTTTCTTTTGTTCACGAACCTGGCTCAGTGCACTGCTGACCTCTTTTCAATAGGGGCCAGATTATTGTGCAGCGGTGCTGTGTGGCTCATCGCTGCGGTGGTGGAGCGCTTTTGTCCCCAGTGGTAATCCGCTCGCTCTCAATGCCCCAAACACTGGTATACAGTTTCAAAACAAGGCTGGATTATCACCACTTTTGAGAGTGAAACTGTCGATAATTCCCAGCAGCCTGGTCTTTTGTTCGGAGTACGGTCTTTTGTTACAGGGCCCCGTTTCCTTTGTCCGAGTTCGGAGACCCCGGCCACGCATATAAACCATACGTCTCTGATTCCGGAGTCCCCGGCAGGAAGTGTTTAAACACAAGCAGCTTTGTCTTCCAATCTAAAGCCCTTTTTTGATATTCAGTTGAATTTAAACCCAATCAACTTAAATTATTCGAGCATGTTACCGTGGATGCAAATATGTCTTGAAAGTCCTTGTTTGGAATGAAATATCTATAATGAGTTGTCGATTTTGTTTGGGTGAAAAAGCACCAATTACACTCACTTAATTTCAAAGAAAAATCTAATAATTTGGGTAAACTGCCTCAGATATCCTGGGTGCAAGATCTGAAGGTGCCTGACACGACCC